TTAAATTGTGACGAGTAATAGTTCGATTGCATCGACGAAAAATATATGTATCACATTACTGCAGCAATTGTAATACCGAAACTCAAAAATTGCAACATCTACACTTACGGAAGCCATTTATTCATTTTTTCGATAAATACTATTTTGCGTTCTTATAGTGTAAATGGCTGCCCTACTTGTAGCTCCATGTCCTACTTGGGCAATTGCCAATTCTGAAGGAAACTTTTTACCTCAGCGCTGAAGCGTACAGAAGGATCTACCAGAAGGATCTGGTTTCAAGTCGAACTCTACATCTCTCATAAAGGTTCTAAATAGAATCCCTTCTCGCTTTATAACATTTTGGTAAATGTTTATGTCCAGGCCCATGGCGTGCATCAGCTCTACACTTTATTTCCTCAAGAGCTTCTTTCTTTTGTTGTATGTTCTCCTTCCCTGATCTTACACACCTAAAATATTTGCTTCTCACCTGTTATGCAGACCAGGTTACTGTCTTGATTATCCCGGTTGCCATTATTTCACGTCTCGCCCAAACCCGCTTCGGCCCCTGGTGCTCGTTTTCGGCCTCACTATTGTTCTCGTCGGCGAGTGTGTTCCTGTTCGCTCTGCTTTCGCCTTCGCAAGCACCATCCCCGTCCTTCGACAGGGCGAGGCCGGCGGCCGCGTCCAGGGCGTGGCGCGGTGCCGCACGTGTTCCGAGCGCGGATAATCACCGAGCACCGTTTAGCCATTTCACGCCCACCGAATGCGAATCACCGCCTGAATAATTTATTAACGTCCTCTTCCCGGGCCCCCGCTCCCACGCGTTCCACCAGTCGCACGGCGGACTTCGCCTTCCGCCCGCTGCCCCGCGCCGATGTTTCACCCCGTCTCCACGGCGCAGGGACGGGCGCGGTCGTAGTTACTGTCGTGTTTCCAATGTTAATGGTTCACCTGTCATGCTGTATTACCGCTTCGGTCGTTCGCTTCCTACTGCGAAAGCCGTCCCTCGTTCGCTGTCGGTAAATACTGCGGCCGTACTTTAGGCACATGCCCTTGCATACAACAGCAAAGCTGTGCTAAAAGAGGTTGTATGGGAAAGTTAACTCCAAGGACAAATTTTGGTACTTTGGACTTCCTATTGCACTTCGTGTTCCAACGCAAGGACTTTTGAGATGCCTGAGCGACTTTCGCCTGCAAATCGCACGCAGTTGGTAAGTAGCGAAGGCAGCGCGCTGCCGGCAAATCCCAAGCTTGACATTCCGAGGAGGCAACAGCGACATTTGTGCGCTAGGAGTTCTTAGCGGAGGTGGAGCTGTGCGTTGTTCCGCTTATTGCCGAGGCATCTGTATGCGCCGTCTCTGCCGCGTCCCCCCGGGCCCCCGCGCCTGGTGATGCGACCCAGCCGCCAGGGCCAGCTCTCGCACTTCGCGCCGGCTCCCCCGCCCAATCCAGTACTTCCCTTCTCCAGCCCCATGCTCTCTCGAGACGCGCATCGCTATGTCTTACACTGTCAATAACTCTAACCACATGAATTCTTCTTTGCAATGACCATGACCACGACACTTTTTTGCTCCCATATCTTTTGTTTTTGTAGTTTCCCAAGGCCACGCACCCTGTTTTCGGGGAGGGACTTATGACCCACCCCTCCCATTTTTGACTGGCTTCTTAATACACTACTCCCTTTTGTATCGTTCACCTCTCGCCTCCACTTTCCCGCAATCATCACCTACCCTCTTCCTATCCGAGGCACTTTACTCTCCACCCATCCTTCCATCGCGATTTACAAGACGCTGTCCTCTCTCACAAGCCACCTCGCCCCGCCCTTTGTCGAGGTTCTTTGTCCGCTCGGAGCTGTCGTGCAGAAGTGTTTCAAATCCCTCCCATTCACGACCGTGGCCGCGCCTCAGATTCTCTGCTCGCACGGCTCCGCGGCGCGTCTTGCGGCCCCGCGCCGCCCGCGCTCACGGCGCGGCGCGCCTACCCGCCCGTTCGGATCTCCTCCCTCGCCCTCTGCGTGCGACCCGCCGGTAAGCCAGCGCCGGCGCCCGACACGTGGAACGTCGCTCTAACTCACCCCCGCCGCCCGCGCCCCCCCCGGCGCGCCGGCGCGCAACCCTTGAGGCGCGGCGCAGCTGGGCGCCAGCGCGGGCGCCCCCCCCCCGCCCGCCGTCTTCGTCTCTGTCCGCCCCTCCTCTCCATTGCCACTTCCTCTGCCCACTGTGCCCTCCTCCCGCTCCGTCCCGCCTCAAACCACCACGCCCCACCCACCCCGCCCCGCCCGCTCCATCCCGCGTCGGGCTTCGGCACGTTCCGTCGCTCCTGTCCTCGTCGCCACCTCCGCACTCGTCGCTCCATCCCCTTCTCCTCCTTTTCCGCCTTTGTTCCCGCCACTTTCATGCCCTACAGGCTCACTACCTCAACTTTCCTAGGAAAGAAATCCTCGCTCGACTGGCTAAATGTAGCACACGATAAATGAATTATGGAAAGCATTAAAAAAGTGCCTGAAGCGTAAAGTAAAGCGAGCTGATCTCCTCTCGACAACGTAGCGGCCACACAAATATTGCAGTACCTTCTAGTACATCCTTCCCTCCGTAAAGACGCTCTTCTTACCCCTCTTACCGCTCTGTTTCTCTTGTTTTTATATTTTCTCTAAACACTCTCCACCCATTTCTGTGTGCTTAATTGAATGCTTTATTCCATTCAGATTCCTTGCTGCGTGAAATTAATTCAGTTCAGCTTACGTCTTGCGAATATGTACTATAGACGTTTCTCTCTTGCCGCTTCAGCTCTTATTACTCCATTACATTTCTGTCGATTTCATTTCTGAGGCCCTTCTATTGTTTCGATTTTCTTCCCTTCAGTCACTGCATCTTGTACTACCCTTAGTTTCCTTCTTTCTTGTTATATGTTGGCTATCGGCGCCAGGTGTGTCAACGCCTTAGTCTGTATTTCTTTAAAAGTTAATTGTGTGTTTCGTCTTCGTGATACAATTTTCTTTCGCTGGCACCACAACCCGTATCCTTGTTTTCTCCTCTGTATTCCTATTCCTCGTTTTCTCTCACCGTCACACATTTCCCCTTAGTCCTGTTCCTACTTTCGCTGCCGCGACGTCGAGACGTAATAGTTTTGCTCGCACTTCCTCCTGCTGGTGTTCGTAACGAAATGTAAACACTCCCCAGCAGTTTGACGTTTTCATAAGCACGCGTGCGCCGTTAGCATAGGCTGGCGCGGGCGCTCGTCGGAGCCTGAATGCGGGCGCAAATACTGCGGCGACGGGGCCAGAGGGATCCCTGGGCTGAGAAAGGGCTGCTGCGGTAGCAAGAGGCGGCGTTTAGGCAGGGGTAGGAACCACTTACGATGTGACATATGGCGGTAGACTTGGCTAATGGGATGGCCTGAAGACGTGGACACTGATGAGAATTCGAAGTATTATCGGACAAGGTCGTTTGTATTGACGTTTTGCTAGTTTGGTGGCAAATGAAGTGGAAGAAGGGAAACGTTTACACGGTTCTCATAGTGTAACGACTTCTGATCAGACTTGACAATGATTTCCTAGATACTGAGACATCAGAAATGAGGAGGAGGAACATTTGGGGGAGTGACTGAGCTGTGGAGTGAACTGGTGTCGGCTACGATGGTTGAAACGATAGCGATGTCAGTGGCAGATGCGCATGTAAGGCTGCGGAGACGGCTTGGGTGGGTGCGGTGAAGTGAAAACCGCGGGAACGGCCGAGTCGGTGCTGGCGGCGGCGACGGTGGCGAAAAGTTACAGCTTGTCGCGAGACGAACGGCTTCTCCTGAAGGACGAGGTCGCGCTGCGCGAGTTGGGCTGCGCGTCGCTCGTCAATCTCCCGCGCAGTGGGAATTCGGGAAAGATGCTGGCGCGGAGCGGATGGGAGGGAGGGGGCGGCTGGGGCAGAGCGCGAGCGTTCGGTTTGCACCGGCGATGATTCATGTGCGCGCTGTCGCCCGCTCCCCTGCTGCAAGTTATCTGCTGCGGCTGCATCGTGCAAACAGGCACATTCATATTCTACATGAATGGATTAAGGGTTTCGCACCTGATGTGACTTCACCGTACACATGCCAGTGTTTGAAGTGATTGAGAGTAATTTCGCAAGTAGTCGTGAGTGAATAAAGTTGTCTCTCTCTTTCTTTCGTTTCACAATCATTCACAATTTATGGCTACATTTTCTTGCAATGAATTTTTAACTACAAAAAATAACCTTTTTTATAAAATAGTACTCTTATTTTTGTGATATGAAATAATTCACGTTAAATACAGAAATAAAGAAAGAGATTAAGTAAAAGCAAGAGAAACGTCGAGCGCGAGTAAATTGTAGAAAAAGAGCAGCTATTCATGACAAGCGACTCGATGAGTCTCTGGGCTTCCGTCGCCTCTCATTCGCATCCCAAGCCGCACATTAAATTGCCTTATCTTTGTTAGCAGAACAGGGGAGTGGGACGCGCTGCCCGGTGCTGTCGAAACGCGATTTTCGCGAGAAAACTACGCTCGCCCATAATGGAAATGGAATGCAGAAGCGCGGCTCGACGCGGCTCGGCGGAGCGCTGCCGCGCAGTCAAGCAGACGGCGACGTCTCGCGCGCGACGCGCGTTGTAATAACGCCGTTTGAATGGTGGCATTGAAAGCGGTGCGCGAAAGGAGGGGAAGAAAGTGAGATTTAAAGCATCTGATGTGTTAAAACTTCCCCATTTGCATCGCGGTCCCGGCCGTAAGAAAACCATTCCGTGAGACCTAATTTAAATTTATGTGACGCCGCGCGCCGCGAAATAGAGTGTATTTTGTGTATATTTATACACTATATTTACGATTTGTCTTTTCGCACGCATTTGTGCTGTCCTGTCCTCCTCTCGCCCTCGTGTTTCGGGGTTTCTATTCTATTTTGTGCTTCTTTTGCGCGTGCAAGCGCGAGGATTTTTTTTTTCTACCGCGCCCTGAGAGCTCACACGTGCCCGGGTGATGGCCGTGATTAAGATACACGTCCCTTGGCTGCAGTCGTATAATGAATACGTCGCAACGTTGCTTCGCCTCACCCAGTGTGCCTTATGCTGCACGAGCCCTTTCGCTCGTTTTACCCCGGATGAATGGGGAGGCTCTGCTGAAGGCAAATGAGGGAGAAGGGTGTGATGCTTTGGCTTGTACGGCAGGCGCTCCTAGTGCTTCATTTGCGCTTGATACGCCTGTTCACATCGCTGACGGTGGTCTGTCATGGCTTCGACCACTCAGTCCTTTGTCCTTTATCCTCCTGCGTTAACACAGGAAAGGATTTAATTTGTTGCTTAATGTGTAACTGGCTTCATTCTTTGCACACCCCCCGTTTTTCATTGTTTTACTACGTGAGTTAGAAAACAACTTTTGACAATTACGAGGAAACGTATCTGCATTTTGTCTAGATAAATTTTATGATTTTTGAACGCGTTAAGTCTATAGCCACCCTTCCATTTCAAATATATGATTTAATCACTGAAATACTAATAGTACGAATCTTAATCCCGTTGTGTACAAATAATATTTTTATTATGCGTCTACTTTTCAAACTTTAGGAATAATTCTATATTATGATGTCAATCCAAACTATACTTCTGTAACTACAACGGATTTGAAACCGAAAAGTTCACCTTTTCTCATTGTAATTCGTATATCTCGGTCATTCCTAAACGAAAAGGAACTTACAAGTATCTTCACTTTCACAAATACTATCGGGAAGGAGATAAGATTTACCAAAGCCCTTTTCTCTACGTGTTTTTCTTCTCTCGCATCTCCAAAGCGAAGGCTTGCACTCACTCTGCATGTCGCTGGAGCGTGGAGTGAGCCGCTCCTCTCCGCAACGCGCCTTATAATCAGGATAGGCATCCCGCAGCACTCAGCTGTGCTCAGGTAGCGAGCGTGGGAGACGTTGAGAAAGCATGCTCTCCAGGATGTCCATTATGTTGTTGTTTTTTTACCTTTTCCTCCGAGGAAAGAAGTTTTGCGATGCTTTCCTGTTGATGTGTATAGTGCGCACAATCGTAAAATTATATTAACCTGAGAATAGTGTCTTGAAATCCGTGACGGTAAATTGAAAAGATATACGTAATTACATTTGCATTAAATAAAACTTTACATTTCATTATGTTGAATAACAAGTGCACAGTACATCGTTTATTAATCAAAAAACAGAATTCTTTTTGCGTTAGAAAATACCAAGGACTTTTTTTCCACTTTTTCATAATTAAAACTGAATATATTGCGAAATGTTTAAAAATAATAAACATCGTCGCATGTAATTTAATTTCATATGTGACTTATATAAAACCTTTATAGCGTCTCTTTATGTATTGTTAAAGTAATATAACGCGACAGCAGGGCATTTAATGGAAAAATATTTGAAACAATTTTAATGAATATCTGGTATCCCTGATGGAATAGCTCACCACTTTTCGATTCGCGCTTTCCTTTAACGTGAGAGCGTTCAGTTGAAACCCCGTGACAACAGGCGCGGGTTGGGCTGGGGGTGTTTGCGGTCCGTGTTGCACCCATGGGGAACATCTCATTTTTTATTTGGTCCCGTGTGGAGGAGGTATGGGTCCGCATACGAATGTGCTCAGTTTTCCAGAACGGTCCGAGAAGTGAACGAGTGATTGTCTCTTGCACCATCGGGTCCTGCGGTTGGTTGCCTCTTCACTTCGTGGGAAGCTCCGAGTGTGCGTATGCTTTGAGCAGGGGAGCGGGAAGCCGATTCAAAGGTTCAAGCGAAAATGGCATCCGTAACATATCGGTTGATGAATTGCACGCTATTTATTGGTCGTAAAATGTCCGCACATCCTCTCCGTGGTCGGCGAATTATCAAAAGCCATGTCGAGCGATATATTTCCAACGCGCTTTTTGTTTTTATTTCTAATAATAATAAAAAAACAACATTTTGTGTCGCATTCAAAACTAGCCCCGATACCAACTCAATCGTCAACATCAATAATAATTTTAAGAAGTTAAATTTATTCCACCTGCCAAGTTTATACCTTTTCTCTACATTTATCATAAAAGTTTATTGTGTAAGGTATTTTGGTATTAAATGATTTAGTTCGTTGGAACTTTTTAATATGTAATACACTAAATTTTGATAGTGTCAGATGTTACCGTTCTGTCCGTTATGACTGATGATGCCCCTCCTCAGGATCTAAATACTTGGGGATGTGAAACGAATACCTGCGAGGAAAACTGTGTTTTGAGGTACGTTAAATCATGTTTTTTCGTAGTACAGAATACTTCCACCTTCTAGACAATCAGGTTAAAAAAACGTTCTTCTACAAAAAAAAAGTTTGGTTTTAGTCGTAGCCATCTGCCTGTACATTATTCATTCACCTCGAGCGATACACCAATAGTAACCTCTGAGAGAGATTCGGGGGTCCCACTGCTTCGCGTCAGAGACCGAGACGCTGACGACCGGGTTTCGTAGCCCGGTCCGTGCCTCTCGGGGCAGCGTGGCAGCGGCGCGGTCGCGATAACATCTGCGGCCGACCGCGTATCGATCACTCGTGTAACACATGAGGCGCGCGGCGCGCTACCCGTCTGCCGCCGTCGCTACCACCTCCGTCGTGTTCGCGAAATGAAATTGCCCCACTGCTCCTGAATAAACCGCAGTGTGACCGTGTATGACGTCCTCCATACAAATATCTCCTTATTGGTAAAGAAGTGGTTCGGACAAGTTCGTGATTACTCAGAACGGTTCCCAGCGACTAAAAAGCAAATCTTGGGCCTAGTGTCGTGTGTGACAGCTTTGTGTGACAATATTTCTATTCGTATTACTTTCCCGTATACGTAAGTATATATGGAGTAATGTATGTAGTATAGGGAAATTTGTGTAATGCTGCGGAAAATTGATTTCGAGATGTCAACGGAAATATACATTTTGAGGTCCCCTGATACCGAAATAGTTTTTTTAAACGTCCATTTGTCCGTCCGTCTGGCGTTTGTTCGTCCGTCCGTCCGTCCGTCTGTGAACACTAGTAGAGCCTAAACCATGCGTAGGATTGTTCTCAAATTGAAGAAACCCGTGCTGATCTGACTTGAGTCGAATCTTTTGAGTTAAAAAAAAAATCTTTAAAATGTAGGGGTACTTTACATGATGTGCCCCGGACATACTCAAAATTTTCTCAAAAACGGCTCCAAGTATTTTCTTTAAATTTCTTGTAAGAATAGAGTAAAATACACTTACAAAGATGGCATAGATCCGATAAGTTTACCACTGAAGTTTCGAAAATTTCAAAATTTTTCGGGATTATTCCTACAACTACAAAATTGAACATATATTTTTTCCTTCAAATCAAATTTATTCTCCATAGTGAGTTCTTTTATTTTGGTCATGTACATTTAAAAAAAATGGTAGTTTTCGAGCAATATTGCGTGCAATATTTGCATTTTTTTTAAAATTACAAAAACCATTTTCTCTAAACCGGCTTCTAACTTTTGGTAGGAAAAGTGCTAAATCTTCTCTATAAGATGACCTATTGCTCTATTCTTTTGTTTTATAAAAAATAGAAAAATGTAATTTTTTGACGTCTCTCACATCGTTATTTACATCAGCGGCAATTTCTTTACATTAATGTGTTTATGAGTACATGTGCTTTAAATAATGTCAGATAAAGTTTCCCGAAAACACAACGGTTTTCCGTGAAAATTAACTCAAAATTCCGTACTTTCAGGAACTCTCAAACGTCATTTTCTCCAGCGATTTGTAAACAGTATTTCACGTATGACTGGAAGTGCTCTAAGTGACGTCATATGAAGTTTTTCGAAAACACCTTAGTTTTCTATGAAAAGAGGTTCATATTTCGAATTTACAGAAGCGCTTAAATGTCATTTTCTTAAAAACGGTTCGACATTTTTCAAAGAAAATTGTCATTTATTACGATGTTTTATTGTTCTTTAATATTCTTAAAATAGTATTTCCGTTCTACTATTAGGAAACGAAAAATTAAGAAATTTTTTAAAAAAATCTACTTTGGATGGCGATAGATGGCAGCTGGCAAGAGTATGTGGTAAGTCCGAATAGCTAGCCGAGACCAGTAGAAATAGAAAACGAATACGGAAAAGTCTGTGCCATTCTGTAGCCTCACTAGTTCCGTTTGTATCCAAAATAGAAGTGGGTACATTCTGAAAACAAACTTAAGATGATTTTGTTAACATTTATGTATCTACATTACCTTCGTGATTTCAACTAAGCGTTCGTACTAGTCGGTGACGGAGATTGCGAGAGAAATTAGAGGAAAGTGAGGAATTGTGTGGGGTGAGGAGGCAGACAAATGTTCTTTTGCCGCGTGCACGAAACCTCATCTTGCTGACTGGCCACGGACGTCGCGGTCTCACACATCGGCGGGGTACGAACCGGCGAGCATTTGTTGGGTCGTCCGCCGCTGCAGGATGCTACTGCACTGCATGTGGTGGCTAGGGGAGGGAGCGAGGTGAGAGTGCCCGGTGGGACGCACCACTCGCCTCATCCGCAGACTTCAAGTGGAAATTGCGTGCGCACACAAAGATGCGGTAGAGCGCGAGCCTCCGCGAACACGCGTAACTTCTGGAGCAGCAAAAGGTGCCCGTGACATGTACGCGCCTGTTCCGTTCCGCGTGATTGCACCTTTTCTTCCTGATGCGCCGCGGTGTTCCTTGCACCTCCCTCCCCCTCCCCACCCGATCCGCCGCCCTCCGCGTTTCCCGAAGTCGCCTGCGTTTCTCGCGGAATTAGAACTCGCATTGCCGGCGGAATCGTCGGCTTTTGTTTTTGTGTGGGAGGCATGAAATTTCCGTCTTTCGTTTTACTCCCGTTGTTTTTTCCTTTCTCTATTCGCGATGCTTTTGTTTTTTCTATCCCTCTTCGTGTCGCTTTTTTCTCGTCTCCTCGCGGGTTCGCGCGCGCAGCCTCTGCTCTTCTCCCGGCGACGGCCTTAGAACGCGGTGGCATCATGTGCCGCGGCGAGCGATGCGGGGCGCCGCCGCCGCCGCCTTGAAGTGAATTGGCCGAACATATTCCGTGGCGCCGGCCTTCCTCCGCCTTGCGGTGGCGCTGGCGGCGATGGAGCACAGCCAGTCCACGCTGGAGATGGCGATGGCAGCGGTGGCGTCTGGAAGAAATCTCCAGCCCGCGTTCACGTCAGACCTGCCACACCTTTCTATTTTATTCCACTTCAAAAGGTTGCTCTCAGAGGAAGCACTGAAAATGAGATCGCAAGTAGTACTCGAATTAATTAAAAGTTTCCTCTTCATCACCGATCGGAGATGAAACAGGACGTCGATACACACACCCCCTTCCACCTCCCGAACCGTTTTGTTGGTGTTTTTCGCTCGGCGGTGGACGTTACGATGGCCTTTGAGAAACGCGTTTCTTTTGGGATTCCGTACGCCTGCGAATTTCAATTCTTGAGGTGGAAAGGTTTTAGAACGGAATGGCTTACTCCTGGCGATCGCCGGGGTCACTTCCCATTAAATTCGCGTGTCGAAAAAAGTGAAAGAAATTGCGGACAAATGAATCGATGAAAAGTAATTTCCTTGGCAAGCAACCGGTTTGTTACTGGCGTGGCAGCAATTGATTCGGAGCACGAAAACAGCTGCAGCGCCATTCAGAGCTGTGGGATTCTCGATTTTCTGCCTGGTCGTTTCCTTAGAGAAGTGAGCTATTCTAAAAAAGAGCAGTATTACAAATAAATGAACCGATATACCAGTAAGGAAATGAATTGTAAATAAAGAATTTTTTCAAAAATTTTACGAAAATTACTTGCGCAGTACAAATTTAACCTTGTTCAGTAATCGAGTAACCTGCATCAGTCCGTTGCTCACGGTTAACTCCTTCCTATCCACCAATCGAGACAAATAAGGTGTCATTGTTAGCGTCTCGGTGTCCTGTTAGGGAAATGTTCATTTTTTGCAGATCCCTCCAAAAGATTTTAAGAAATTTATATGAAAACTAAAATGTGTTCAGTGAAACTTACTGCACCTACAGAGGAGATTAGTAGCTTATTTGATTCCTCTTGACAAGCCCTCTAGGGTATTCTGGAAGAATTCTAGAAACGAAAAACGTGTTTTTATGGTTCAGGCATCTAAATCTCATCACAAAAGGATTAAACTAGGCCTTTCTTATTATTCAGGAAAGTTAAGTACTCGCATTTTTACATTTATGACAGCAATACATACTACACGCAAATTATTTTATTCACTTCCATAATTTGCAGCACAGTTTATAATAAAGATTTTTCTCACATTTTCTACAGTCAGACTGTCATCTGTTCAAATCATTTTGAAAGCTGAAAAGGACTTTTCCATTGATATAAAAGGTTATATGAGCAAACGTGAATTTAATCACATTTCTCATGCCCATTCTTCTGGAAATTTTCCACCCTCTCCTACCAAAACTTATACCACACGACCCATTACACCATATCCAAGATTTTTTGTGCTCTCCCATTTGCACTTTGTTGTTTCTATTGCTGCCCCTTTAGCAGCACTAATTTTCACTTAAGTGTGTTGCACTACTGGCAATTGATCTGTCAAAGGATATCGTTTGCCTTCCAGCTTGGCCATTGTTGAGGGTAAGAATGAAAAAAAATGTATTTTACTGGGTCTTAGTTTTTAAACTTCGCCTTTCAGACTGGCTTTTTCCTGACCTGCCTTTCCTCGACTGGATTGCGATAGACGACGCGCCTCGGCGATAAGCCTCGAGTTCAGTTCAGTTTTGCTCATGGATTATAATGTTTATGGGCTGGAACACTGGCACAATTTGAAAAATACAAATTTTAAGTTATGACCATTATAAACTAACATTTTATAGTAGTTATTATTTTCCAAGGTCGCTAGGATGGCCGATGGACAGCATACTAGCTTCCCGAGGTGTGATCCTGAGTTCTATTCACAGACAAAGCAAAAATAAAGTTGTAGCTTTCCTTTAAAATAGTCTCAATTTCTGTAGCTGTATGATGAAGCAAAGCTCAGGCAGGTGGAATTTGCTAGTTATGATGAAGGGAATCATGTTTGCCACATGTCTCTCTTACTTACTCTAGAAATTAAACTAGGCCCAGGCATGGGGGACACCATTAGCTAGCCGGGAATGTCAGACAGTTGACTTAAATGCCAAAAACATTATGTACCAAACGTATTCTGAGCCTTTTAGTAATGCTTACCCTTTAATTATCAATTATAAAGTGTAATATCTGCATTTCAATCACCAGAAAACATTTTTAAACACCCTTACTACCTCAAAACTTAATTTTTCAAGTTGTGCTAGTATTGCACCCCTTGAACAATGTATTTTTAAAATTCATTTGTGTCATTGATATTGCATAAACTATTTTTAAATTAGACTATGAGTAGAAAGTGTGTAATCTCAACATTGCCGTGTGAATTGTATTAATTAATATGATGCATTTACTTTCTGTCTCAAAATAACTTTTTATTTGTTTCAGCCAAGAGATTGAGTGAATATGTCAGCCATTACGAACAACTCAACTATGACTCCCAAGAAGTTCATCACAAGCACATGCGAGCGAAACGTTCAGTCACACAAGATCATGTGGTCTACTTCAACTTCCATTCCCATAGTCGTCACTTCAATATTCGCCTCAAGAGGGATTTGGAGACTTTCAGTGACAACTTAGTAATACATGGTCCATCTGGGAAAGTGGAGGAACTAGACACATCTCACATATATCATGGCCATCTGGATGGTACACTTTGTTTGATTTATTATTTTTGACTGTAGTTAGTTATTAAAAATGATTCATTTACTTTCATAATTTTCAGAAGAGCCAGGGAGTCATGTATTTGGATCCTTAAGTGATGGAATTTTTGAAGGAAAAATAGTCACAAATAAAGGTAGTTTCTATGTGGAACGAGCATATAGATACTTCCCCAAAGATGCAAATACAACTTTTCATTCTGTCATTTATGCAGAAAATGATATTGAGGATCCTTATGAGAAAGTCAGAACAGGTATTTTACTTCTGTGGCTTTTTTTGTTTTGTTTTGTTTTGTATGGAATGTTAAAACTGAAGACTGTTCTAATAATTATATTCTTTGTAGGTCATGTAGGAGGATGTGGCATCACTGATGAAATCATTCAGTGGATGGATCGAATACAAAACTCAGCTGTAGATGAGGAAGAAGACAAGCCTGTAAAGCACAAACAACACAAACAAGTGAAGCAACCAAAGCAACAAAAACATCAGAAACATCAAACACATCAGCAACATGTGTCCCAGCCTGCCAAATTACCTTATCATGGGGGGGATTATTCTTTACATAATAAATACAGTCGTGAAGCCAATGAAGGGGATCACAAGAGAAGCAAAAGAGCCACAAGGCCAAAAAGTGAGAAAAATACTTGCTCCCTGTTTATACAGACTGATCCTCTCATTTGGAGACATATAACAGAGCAGGTATATTAGAAATGCTTGTGTTATTTGCTGAGCATTGAAGTTCTAATGATGTTTGTAAAATGATTAAATTATATTAATCCAATGTTTTAGGTTGGATATGATGCCGAAAAAACAAGAGAAGAGATTTTGTCTTTGATAGCTCATCATGTAACTGCGGTTAATTACATTTACAGAGACACAAAATTTGATGGGCGGGTAGAACACAGAAATATAAAGTTTGAAGTGCAAAGGATAAAGGTAATACTAATGTTGTATGGAAAAGGATTAGTTAATATTAAATATGGATATTGTTTAGAAAATGTGTATATTTGTCATAAAATCTATTATTAGTTTTGCCAAAAATAATTTTTATTGATTAAATATTTATCAAGTTAAAATATGGTTTACTTTGAAAATCATTGCATTCAGAATGAATTATATTCATAAAATGAAAAGACCCTACCATGCTGGAAGGATTCAAGTCCAAACAGAGTAGTTGAAGTTTTAGTGTTAATGAAATTGAGTGTTGTTAAGCAAGTAAAGGCTTTGAATTGAAACTATTATATTGGAATTGGGAAATTATGATTTAATGTAATTTAGATAAATTGTTCAAAAGCTGCAAACATAAATAATCAAACAGTAAATTAAACGAATCAGTCATTCAATTAAATTTAATTTATGATACACTTAAATAAATTTCAAGCATTGGGATATAAAGAAAGTGTAAAAGTAAATGAAAAATGTATGGTAGAACTTAAAAGAGCATTTTATTCTTTTGAAAGTATATTATGTTTTATCAAGTTCATTTTCATAATGACTGATGATAGTAAACATAACACAGATAATATTTGATCCACTAACTTGAAATATTTTCTTCAGATTGATGATGATTCGCCATGCCAACAACACTATCCGGGTGAACCAAATCCTTTTTGTATGGAAAATATTGATGTCAGTAACTTCCTCAATTTACACTCTTTGGGAAATCATGAAGACTTCTGCTTGGCCTATGTGTTTACATACAGGGATTTCACTGGAGGTACCTTGGGCTTAGCCTGGGTAGCTTCAGCTTCTGGTGAGTGCCCTTTTTATGATGCTAGAAAAGTTTGTTTTAATTTCTTATCATTGGGATACAAAATCATTTCTAGTGGAGGTTTTTTATTTCTGTGGACCTTGAATGCTTTCTTGCATAATTTAAGACAGTAGAATATCAATAATTTGAATAAATTGTTTATAATTGCACATAATACATACAGTATTCACTTCATGATTCATTCATTTTTGCACCTGAATAAAGTTCAACTTTTTATCATTCAAATTGTTGGAACTCTACCCTAAATTCATCCATTTTCAATGTGCCTGATTTTAAGAATGCTGCATTCTTTCTAAGCCTAAGTTTTTAAGAACCCATGTTTGTGAGATTCTGTCACAAGTATTCATCTGTAGTTTATAATTATTTTGAGCTTTAGTGGTGTAGTTGGGGACTTGTAAATTTCTTCCTTAGCTTCTAAAACTATACTGCTTCAAAGTATTTAGATTGTTAAAGGTGTTGTTATGAAACATTTTAATATTGTTGATTTGAAATTGCATGATAGTCTTTTTTATGCTTGCCATTATGGTGATTTGTACTTTCAACATCTTGTTTAAACAATTTTATTCCTTATGCTCTTGTAATAATTGTGGATGGTGTCAATATCTAATATAATGTAGATTAAATAGATTTCTAATTTTGCATGGTTGCATGAACTCGAATGAGCGAACGCGTCAGTGGGCGGGCTGTTTCAGGAGCATCGGGAGGGATATGTGAAAAATACAAAACCTACACTGAAACCATTGGAGGATTGTATCAATCTACTAAACGCAGCCTTAATACAGGAATTATTACATTTGTGAATTACAATAGCAGAGTGCCACCAAAAGTTTCTCAACTTACACTGGCACATGAGATTGGTCATAATTTTGGATCACCTGTAAGTATCAAAAAGTGCTAAAATTTATTACCAATGTTTGCAATACATTTCTTTTCTTTTAATTTATTGTTATAGTTGTTATTATTATTATTATTATTATTATTATTATTATTATTATTATTATTATTATTATTAATCTCTTTTTTGGAAGAACTTTAAAAACATTGCAAATAAATAAATAAAAAATTAACTTCATTGCAATCAAACTATCTCTTGCAGCATGATTACCCTCCTGATTGTCGCCCTGGTGGTCTTCATGGGAATTTTATTATGTTTGCATCTGCGACAAGTGGAGATCGGCCTAATAATAGTAAATTTTCAAATTGTAGTATTGGAAATATAAGTAATGTTCTTGATGCTATAGAAGAAAATAAAAAAAGAAATTGTTTCACAGGTATGTAATAAAAAGCAATGTTTCTACTAGAAAACTATTTTCCATTTTACGAGTAATTGAGTTCCATATTGTAATTCTTTTTTCTCAGCATCGGAGGGTGCTTTCTGTGGAAACAAAATTGTTGAAGCAGGGGAAGAGTGTGACTGTGGATATGATGACAATGAATGTAAAGATAAATGCTGTTATCCACGTCAAGTTAGTGATAAAGATCGTGCAGAAAATGAAACTGCCAAAGGATGCTATCGAAGGAAAGGTACTCAGTGCAGGTACGAAAAAGAACTTTCAACAATTATAATTCTTAAATTTGGAAATGGTTTGCTCTTTGGGTATTCTTTTCCTCCATGTTTGTATTTAGTAGAAATATCCAAATTGTATGTAAAGTCAAAATCTTTCTGTGGCCATGCAGCTAATGGGATTTACAAATCACTATAATATGCTTTTAATAACTATATTGTTTATGTTTGCAGTCCAAGTCAAGGACCGTGTTGTTCAAGTGAAACATGTCGTTTTGTACCAGAACATTATGGTGTTACCTGTAAACAAGAGTCTGACTGTAGTTGGAGTTCCAAATGTAATGGACGTTCTCCTGAGTGTCCATCACCAGATCCTAAAACTAATAAAACCCGATGTAATGAAGGCACCCAAGTATGTATTTGCTGATAAAATTTTATTTTACTTTTTATATTTTCATTATCTATTTAGGTTTTGTGAACTCTTCGGGAAAGAAATAACATCATATTGTGAGAACTTAACCAGAATATAATTGTTTTGCAGCTCTGCATTAATGGAGAATGTACTGGATCAATATGTCTTGAGTGGAATATGACAGAGTGTTTTCTTACAAGTCACATAATCCCAAATATAGATAAACGCAAACTTTGTGAATTAGCATGTATGAATGGTACTGATATAAATACATGCCAGAGTACAAGTGAGTTTGCATGGCGTGTTGGGCTGCCGGAGGGTGGAATCAGTTTGCGCCCTGGTTCTCCATGTGATAATTTTCAGGTACATTTTATTACCAATGTCATGTAATGATTTACAGAAATGTTATGAAAATTATTTGCCTTTTTGACTTTATTTCTTCTTCTACAGGGCTATTGTGATGTGTTCTACAAATGTCGTGCAGTTGATGCTGAAGGACCTCTTGCACGACTGAAAAATTTGCTCTTCAATAAACAAACCTTATTGACAGTGGCTCAGTGGATTACGGTACATTATTACGACATAAATACTTGATTAAGAAATTTAGATCACATCATGATTGTCAGATAATCTAAGTGGTAAATGAAGAAGAAAAGTGAATTTTTTTAGGATTTTATAACTCTTCAGGGTTAGGATAATATAATTTGGCTCGTCTCATCATGAGTTGTAAATATGTGGTTAAAGAATCTTTTTTATGACTCGCGAAAGATGTGTTATCCATGTGGTTTTAACTCTACAATTTTACCAATTTAATTTCATTGTCTGGCAAGGCAAACACTAGCAAACACTAGCATCTTCTTTTCATTTTTGTTGTATGATATTGACACAAAATTAAATATATATTATTGATATCAGATAATATTATATCTGTTACTTAATTTTTGTTACATATTCTTATTATTTTCAAGGCATGTTTGCTCTTATTTAACATTTCATTTTCCAGATTTTTCTGGACTCCATTCTTTATAACATAGTTCATTGTACAATAAAAGTTTGAAAAAGTTGCTGGTATTCCAAGTTTTATTTATTGTTTTGTGTGAATATGTTAGAATTCACAAATGCTAATCATGTGTCATCACCTGATTGTAACCCAACATTAGGACTTTGTAATTAGTTTATAAAAGTCTACAATACTTTTATTTTTCTTTATCTGATGATGATGATGATGATGATATTGATATTGATGATGATAAAACAATTTCAACAATTGTAAGGTCAATTTTTGGACAGACATATTTTAAAATCTGATAAAATTTACCTTACGATTTTTTTAAACAATTGGTGTTAATTAGGGCATGATAATAAGTTTTAATGACTGTATCTTAAAATCTTGGTACAATGTCCATATGACCTTCTGATTATCAATTCCCTTTACATTTTGGGCCAAGTTTTTGTAGGCTCCCTTCAGGAGTATTACATCTAAGGATTTTAGCTTTACAATGCAAAGTTTTAAATTTCAGAAAGTTAAAACATTATAAAAATATTAAAGATATAATGTGGTTATTTCTGCTGTGTATTAAACTTCCTCATTACCTTTGGAAAGTCATTAATAATATTTAATACTTATGTAAAACTTATGGAAGTATGTCATTGTAATATTTTACATCTATATCCACAATAAAACTGGTGCCAATGTTGATGAGTAGGACATTTAATGTATTACTAAGAAATTTACATGTTAATACATAAAAAAATAATTTAATAAATTAACACCTCAATTCTGCTAAACCATGTCGTACTGAACCATGATGTACTGTTGCTTCAGAGACTAATGTAAGAACATCAAATGAGGATAATTTATTTGTAGTGTATTAAATGCTGTGTTCATTAATATTGACACCAGTTCTGTTGCAGATATGGATGTAATATGTATTGGTGTTTACTTCCTTTTACATAAAAATTAGTTTTATTAGGAATGAATAAAGTTTGAAGAAATAAAGTTTCATAACAAAGTAAAATAAACAGAGAGATTAACGTCATTGTATTTTTACTATTTTTAACTTCATGAACTTTAAGATTTTGTATTGTAAATGTAGACCTTGAAAAGGCTTCATAGGCTTTGAAAAGACATATGATATGGTGAATAGGGTTTAACTGTGGAAAATATTAGAAGAAAAAGGAATACCAGAAAAAAATCTTCAATGGAATAAAAACACTTACGTGGACTCAAAAATCACCATAAAAATGAGTAGCGATACCATCACAAAATCACTTCACATAAACAGAGAACTGAGCCAGGGGTGTGACGTATCACCCAATCTTTAAATTAAGAATTAAGAAAACTGACATGAGAGACCAAATTAAGAATACTCAACATGACAGCCAAACCAATGCTCTTATATGGATCAGAAACCTGGATCCTAAAACAAAGTGACACCCTAAGACTGGAAGCAGCTCAAATGATGGTCTTAAGACACCTTGGCTATACTAGACTGTATCGACAGGGAAATAAAGACATAACGAAAAGACTGAAGACAACATAAGAGAGGTGGTTAAGATGAACCAGAAAAAATGGCTGGAACATATTAAAAGATTGAAATAAAGGAAGATTCCCAAAGGCTGCCCTAAAATATAAACCACTTGGACAGAAAGATATAGGAAGACCTAGAAAGAAGTGGATAATGCAGCAACACCTGGAAGACTAAAGTATTTCAGGTCTACTGCTTAACCAGGAACAGGACCCCTGGCCTTTCATCCTGCAGTTCATTATGATGATGATGATGATGATGATGATGATGGTGAAGATGACGATGATGATGACGAGGATGATGAATATGATGATCATGATGATGTAATGTAGACCTTAGGTGTATTACTCCTTAACAGCATCTACAACTTCTACAACATCTAATAGGTTACAACTGTGTGGGGAAAAGAAAGAAAGAAAAAAAAAACAATAATAATAATGTCTGTACAAAACTGGCCTTATAATTATTGTAATATTTATAGTACAAACACTCATTATCAAACTTAAAACATTTCAAATATGTTTACTCTCTCTCTTTCTTCTTTTTCTCTCTCTCTCTCACTCTCTCTCTTTCTTCTCTGTATAATGGAAACTTTTCTTGTGTACAGGAGAACTGGTGGGCTGTGTTACTGATTGGCATCGCCTTTATAATCTTCATGGGGCTTTTCATAAAGTGTTGTGCTGTTCATACACCTTCATCAAATCCCAAGAAACCACCTGCTCGTCGATTCAGTGAAACATTGCGTAGACCAATGAATACACTGAGAATAATGGTACATTTATTATATTCCTTTTTCTGATACACACACTCACACACACATACATACACTGTTTTCTAGTCTTAATGATGAAGAAAAGAGGCAAATTTTGGACAATGTTGAGTACAGTTGTACATTGTACTGGGGAGAAAAATGCAAGTAATCCAAACCTTCATGGTATGATTCACACAAATAGCTAACAGATAGTGAAGTTAAAGCTAAGCATTATTGTTGGCATGTCTTTTATTGTCAATTAAATAGTGTACTTGGAATAGAGATGGATGAACAATTTGTCAAAAGCTATACAAAAACATGAAATGTCAAAAGATATTCAGTGAATTGATGTATGAAATTTAGTGAATCTCAAAAACATGAGAAAAATTGAATGTGATTTCAGAATTATTGTCTGAGCAACACAAACTCACAACACTTTTTTAAAATCTGAATATCTTGAAATGTCTGTGCTTGCTTCATGGAATTAATGGATTGGAATTTAATGATTTGAGTGAGACAATTGGTTTGAATACATTGAATATAATAACAAAAATATTGGATTGAGGTGGGGCATAACCCCCAGGGGTTAGTAATCTATTTTGCCTACTCTGAACATTTGTTCACGAATTGCCACTGTATATTACATTAAAATGTACTAAGTAATATTCAACTTTTGAAAGAATAATACGTCAGCAATGTTTTGAGCTGTTTTGTAACGCTTTTATTGTTTCTGTTGTGCATGGTTAGAAAGAATATAAAATAGTGTTTCAATTTTTTAAATATAAGAGAATCTTTTGAGAAAATTCCAAAGTACTGGGCTAAATATAATGGAAATTAGTTGCCCCTAGATCCAGAATGTCTGTTTGTAATTCAGTTTGAAGATGATTGCTGATATAATTTTGATTACTGAAATACAACCCAAAACCTGTGATTGTTATTGTTTATATGTTAACAATAAAATCTACTTAAATATTGTTATCTGAAAATAAGTATGGTAGCAAATTTTATAAATTAATTATTCTCACAATCTGTCTCTCATACAATTAATTTTTAATTTAATAATTTTTCTTTTATTCGTTCTGGAATTTGATTAGCAAAATTATACATTCTTCACTTTGCTTTGGCTTCACTTTGAAGTTAAACTGCAAATGAACCACATTTGTCATATATGGAATGCATGGCCCAAGACTCTGATAAAGTTTAGGAGATGCACAGACATGAAAATTGAAAGGGAATTTTGTCAGCAGCTTGCATTGCAGACATTATTGCAAACCACATGATGAACAAAAGAGTTGGAAGCTTTAAACAAACTACTTTTAAAAAATGTTGGTGATTAATCTGTCTTTATTTGAAGTAACATGTAAGTAAATTTTGAGCAGAAGAAATAAAAGCAGTGGTTGTATAAACCTTCACCCAGCCAGAAACTATCCTTGAAGAATGTGATAATTGATCCGAATAATTATCATCTGTTATAGAATACTTGAGCATGTGTATGGTGAAATTCATGTGCTTATCATGGTTGTTTTCCTTTTTCAGAGACAACCTTACAGACCACCTCCTGGCCACAGTAGTGGCCCATCCCATCCCGGGCCTACCAGAGGGCCAGCCCATGGTTATGGGGAGGGACGAGGTCAGTACTACGCCCCAAAAGGTGAGCATTGTTTTAAATGCTCATTGGTAAAATTGCATAGTTTTACTACTGTACTTGTATACTGGTACAAATTCCCTATTTACTCTTCTTTGGAAGATAATGACCTATTAAATTGAAGTAACTATATAATTAGGTTGAACTTCTCAGTAAAGAATTAACTACAAACTATGTAAATAATGAAACAAATATTTTTTTAAATATATATGTGTCAAACAAGGTTCACCTTTTTAATCTTTCTATGGGAGCTTATTTAATCCAATACAGAATGATTATTATTCTTAATTAGGCTCTTTGTAATGCTGTATTATTTTTGTTCTTTCAGCATCTGCACCTCCTTCTAGTTATAGTCGGTCAAATCATCCAGAGCTGTATGCAGGTGCATATGGTGGCCGAAATGCATTTGAAATGCGACACCACAAAGTCTGACAGTGTGGTCAAGATTCTCGTTCAGTCTGTGGCAACTGTAAGCGTGGACCATCAGGAACGAACCGTCTTCAGGCTTTGCCTCCTGTGAACATTAAGAATCTACATGTGACTGCAACTGTTGTTCAGAGTGAACTAGTATTTGAAACTGATAAAAATAAAATAAACTCTGGAGCTACTGGTGTTACTTGGATGCAACCAACTATTGTGCTAATGCCAGTTTCTCCTACCTTGGTGACTGCCTGTGTGGCGATATTTTAAATAAGTCCATGTGAATGCAAAGTTATCATGGATAATGTTACCCACTTTAGTCACCCTACATTTGGTAGGCTCAAACACTGATAGAAAAAGTTGTGATTTCTCCCTTTTTCTGTGACTATGAAATACAGTCCTGTAGTGGAAAATGAAAAAGGACTCCATAAAGAAGACATTACTAAGTGATAAATTTTCTACTACAGTGGGAATGTACTGAACGTGTTGTAAAGAAAGCGTGTTCGGTTGGTTTTTGCTTGTTTGCGTGTGCACGCATGAAAGATGGGAGAATTTGAAGAATTCCATTTTTACTAGACTAATGGAATCAAGATGTTTGTTGCTCCTCTCACATTACCAGGTTTCATGATTATGATCTGTTATAGTTCTTGTATGTTGTGTATGCTGTCAGAGATCTTTTGAAGGCAAATTGTCACATCAGATAGTATTGTATTGTATTCATTTCTGTGATTTTACAGTGGGCAAATGTAGATTTTGATGCAGAAAATTGGAACCATGAGATGCAGAAGTGTATTTGTGAAGGGAATATTTTGTCTATAAGATTGAAACACTCAGCACAAGAGTACAAACTGAAAAATGTATTTTAATGAAGATTTTCATGCTATGCGATTGAACACATCACTTTACTTGTGTATGCAATGATTATTGAACACTCCGTCCACTCAGTGTTTTACATGTGGTTGCTTTTGGGGGTGTTGAGCATACACAACAATATGATCATAATAATTAATGAAGGAAAGAAAAATTGCTTCTAGTACTTGCTCGTTCTTTTTATTTGTAAATACTAAAAAAATCCTTGCATGAATGACCACCTAATAATTACACTATGCACTATTGAAAGTTATGTTGATTCATACAACAGAAACTGAAATACGATGTATATTTCAGTTTGTTACAGCATTAACATTAACACCATTTACATGTCCAATCTTTCCAAGTCACTGCCCTCATTATGACATGATTTATATTTAAGTGCCTCATTCATAAGGATGAAAGAATAGTGCTCATATGACTTTCCACCCTAGTGTGAAATTGCATGCTGAGTAGTGAGGTGTTCTTGTGAACATAAAATCGTGCTCAAAATGTTCACTCTGTCCTAAAATATTTGTGCTGCTGACTTTTCCTTTACTGTCTTGTGCAGAGTGTTTGTTTTTCATTCTGTTCTCTCTCTCTTTTCATTTTATTATTATTATTATTATTTTATTTTTTTAACAGCAAAAATATTTCTCTACTTCGTTTTCATGGTTTTATTTTCTACATAAGGATCTAGAATTTTGCCTTGAGCAGTATGTATGTGTTTTTAGAATTTTTTCAAAATGATTGACTATTGTTACAAGAGTAAGTGTGCTGTAGATTTACATATATTGTATGAAAATGAAATGTGTGTTCATAGTTATTGCTCTATTCAGTTGACACTGTCTGTTGGTTGTGTGGCAGTTGAATTTTATTGTTACCATAGATGTATTACCTGTCTTTTTTTTTTTATTTATTTTTTTTATTAAGCATGCAAGAATATATTCATAGTATTCGGATGACAGGAATTCAAATTTTCATAGATGTATAGACACATAATTTCTGTCCTCCACTGCCACTAGATACTACAACCATGCAACAGTCACTGTTATCTTTTATGTGTTAATTATAATTTTTACTTCCTTAGAACAAGTTTGACCAAGTCCTGTTTTTAAAGTCTTTATTGTAAATCTTGTATCCATATTATTTAACTCTTGAAATATACAGTATATATTTTATAATTAGCAATACCAAAAATGTATTTCAGACCAAATGAATGAATTATGCTTGATAGTGAACAAATATTTAAAGAGTAACATGTCATTTTTTATCTCTTTGTTGTGTGAGATGTCTGCCCTTTCGAATAATGGGGTTTGACAAAAGATATTATTAAAATGATAATGGATGAATAGTGAATAGGTTCTTCAAAGCATTGTTGTATGATGTTAATGACTTCAGTTTTAATTGTGACTGATGCTACCTTGTGTGATCTTGTTTGCTCAGTGAAGTGTGTAACTGAAGTATGGTGCATTGAGAGTGATGTAGAAAACATATATCAAGGTACAATAATACTCTGTGAAGGATTAATGATAACTTTTACTTGTACATACGATACATAATTGTTTTTATAAATACATAGATGATTTCTGTACTATAGAATTTTTCTGTATGTGGTTTTGTAAATGCATTAACTGCCTATTTAGAGACATGCCATACAATGAGTTCAAATATAACTATGTGAAAATACCTGAATTTTAAAGTTAGATTTCACATGCTTTAAAATCTGTGAAATTGTTTTAAAAAATTTCCCCAAGTGCTTTTCCAGTTAGATGACATTTTAAAATTACAAGTTGTGTGGTATTGCCAATTCATATTAGAAATACTGTACTATTTTTTGTAGAACCCGCATCAACAATCTTTTTTAATTTATGCCAATCAATCTGCATGGACGTGTATGTTTGGATGTGCATCATAAAACGTATGTAATTGCAGAAACCAGCAGTTGGAAATGAACAAAAGAATAAATTCCACTTAATGCAAGCTATTTAGTAGACACAGACCTAAAATTTTATTTCTTGAAGCATGTATTGAATGAGTAAGTTACAAAAATGATATTATAGAAAAATCTTTTGAGAGTTACTACAGATGATGTTTGTAATTGGTGTTTTCATATTTCAAGTATCCCATATTGTAATTAACTTTCCATTAAAATACTTCCTTACTAATTAATGTACATTTATCTTAGCAAAAAAAAAGTGTCATGATCTTTGATGAAACCGCCATATATTATATTATCTTTATTTTGAAATTTTGTGTTATTTGTAACTTACTTATAAAATATCTGCTATATGGATGCAATATGTGAAATATTTTTCGGTGATTTCATAATTGGAACCCAACAGCTTACAGATGCTGCAGAAGCAAAATATTTTCAGAATGCTGAATAAGTAGAAAACATGGTCATCACACCCAAGTGTCCTTTTTTGATCAACTTCGTGGATTGAGACTTTCAAGTATTTATGTATATTCTATCAAAACAGCTGGTTAAAAGTATATTATGTGAAAAGTGGTTCCAGTATTCCTCTATAGTACATAAGATAATTGTCTCTAAATCCTTCTCAGTGTAAAACATTGTCGTGTATTTCATCTCTTAAAAATGACCAATTGCTGTCCATTGTCAATTTTTCCAGACGACCCTTTGCCTCCTCCTCAGCCAAACCCATACTCGAATGGCATTTTGATAATGTACTGTGGATATATCTAATGTATTAATTGTGATTTAAGATTGTAAAGAAAAGTAAATTAAAGAACACATTTTACATTAAAAGTAAAGTGTTTTTCTTGCTTGTTTTCTCATTGCATATTTTGCCTTGTTTTACAATAATGAAGGTTTTAGTATAAATGATTTTGAATTTAGTATTTAAGATATGTTTCAAGTCAGTACATTTTTGGTTGCTTTTTGTGAAGATGAAAGAAATTATTTAGATTTTAATAGTCAAAACTTACAATGAAAATAATTCAATTAACTATTTAATTGAAATGTCTTGAAATTTTCATAGGAAACCTTGTTGGAAAGCCGATTGATTTACAGCAGAGAGATTTTGAATTTAAAATACCTTCTTTAGCCCTTCCAGTGTGTACACCTAGGGATGTGGGGGTAAAGCCAAAACAACTCACCCGAAGAATTAAAAAAAAAAATAAAATAAAATAAAAGAGATTATGATTATTTCTAAAAAGGTCAGAAATAGGAAAAGCTTGGAATTAGATGGAACTCACAGAGGTTATAAAATGTGGAAAAGAGCAGAAATATACCAAAATACTAGAAAGAGACATCGGACCCAGTTTCAAGATTCTAATGAATGCTTAAATGAGACAGAAAAGGTGAAGTATTTCTAAATAAGGAAATGTAAAACACTACAAAATGCTGTGGAATAATGAAGGTACAGCATCAGAAATGAAGGCTGATTTAGAAAAGGAACAAATCAAACAAAAATTATCAAAGATCATGATAATTTCTAAAAAGGTCACAAATAGGAAAAGCTTGGAATCAGATGGAACTCACACAGAGGCTATAAAATGTGGAAAAGAGCAGAAGAACATTTTAGTAGAACTATTAAACAAAGCTTGAGAAGAATATACAGTACCAAGACAATGGGAAGGCATTCGCATAAAAATGTGTCGAAAACAAACTGCAACAATTGTAGAGGAATCATTTTGTTACCAGAAGTTTCAAAATTGCAAATATTTTAAGAAACAGAATGAATGAACATAACAAAAATGGGTAGGAGAAGAACAATGTGGATTTAGAAATGGCAGAAGTATGAAAGATGTAATTACAGTACAGATAATCTGAGAGAAATGCTGTGAAATATATTTGCCAATTTTTTTACTGTTCATTGACTTTAAAAAGACATATGACAATGTAAACACAAATAGAAATTATTAATGAAGAAAAAATTCTCAGAGAAATATTATGTAAAGATGAAATGTATCAACTTTTCCAAGAGATTTTTCAGAATTAAAGACAATCAAAACTTCAGGTTGAAACAAACACATTTTATTTAAGTCTCATAATGTTTTACGAATTTTTTTGTTCACATTTTCAGGTGTTAAGTTCAAAAAGTTACAGTACAAAAATATAAAAAATGTACATAGTCAAAATGTAAAACACAAGCAGTCTGTAAACAGTAAAAGAGAAACAATTGAAAAAATTGTAGTCCTCTTTTCAGACATGGCTACAGATGGT